ACCTTAAATTATTAAAATCTCAATAATAAACTATGGTCCTTATTTATAATTAAAAATATGAATAGTCAATTGAGAAATTAATAAAATACATTTGAGATTATTTGTAACTTCAGTTGAGAATTTATAAAAGTCAATTGTGAATTTTATTTTTTTTTTTTGGTTGTCAATATACATATAACCAATTGAGAAGTGAAAGAAATATACTTGAGATTATTTGTAGTATTAGTTGAAAATTTATGAGAGTTAGTTATGAATCACAAGCTAATCATTTTTTTTTTGCTATCAATATATAGATAAATTGCTTGAAAAACCTACAAAATACATTTGGCATTATTTGTAATGTTAGTTGAAAATTTATGAGAATCAATTGTGAATCACAAATTAATTACTTATGATATTTTGTTATTATTTGGAAAATTAACAAAGGATTCTTAGGAATCTTTATGACGTTAGTTGAGAATTTATAAAAATTTGTTATGACTTATGAATCTCAAGCTAATCAATAAATTAAAAAATAATTTATTATAAATAAAGACCATGACCTATTATTAGAATTTTAATAACTCAAAATCTATAAATGTTATTAATATTCTTATGAGATTGCTGATTGTTATTTTCTCTTCCAAAATTGAGCTAGGCAACACTTTGTACTTGACTACAAGTTTACAAAGTCAAGTCTATACCAAGCAAAAATAGCATTATCCAATCAACACCTTGTTAATTGATATATTTCAGTATACAAAATATAAATAAATAAAATAATTTTGAGATAAAAGTTAATTTCATATTACTATCATAAAAGTTTTACACTATATTATTTAAAAAATAAAGGATAATTTCAGATGCCTTTTTGTTGATCTTTTTTTAAGTATAAAAACTGGACCTCGCATACAATAAGGATAATTTCTCCTTCGTGGTGCTGAATACTGAACTAAAAAGTAAACCCTTCTCAATTAAATTGCTATACATGTAAGGGATTGATATTCAAACCCTCAGCTATTTATCCAAGTTACAAGAGTTCAATCACTCACATCCATTTAATTTAGTCTTCTGCTTGGTTTCCAGCTTCATTAAACTATTCATGAGAATTTGTCAATCTATTATGCGGCTTTATGATTTACTTGTTTGATTGAGTTCTATCAGGAATGTAAAAAAGGAACACTATGTTTAAACAAAACATCCATCTTTCTAGAAAATGTATGTGTATAAAAATAAGTTTCTCTGGTATTATTAATAAAACTTCACGTTATTCAGTTTATTTTAATTACCTATTCATTTTTGCCGAATAGAACAATAACATTGTTGAATCATTTGATCCACAAACATATATAGCCGGTGATGAACCCTGCCTTGTTCAAGAAACTACCAAGTAATATAAGTTTATACTCAGTTCAAAAACTTCGTCTCATAGTTATGTAGATAGTGGAACAACAAGAAAAAAGATCATTCAAATAAAAATCTAAGCCGGCAATTATTGTTAATGGAAGAAAATGACTTCCCCAATAGGGCCAATAACAAAAGCAAATCCTCATAGCAACAAGTTGGTTAATTAGCTGGACTTGAAATTACAGGATTTACTAAAATAAAGATCAAGTATGGCTCAAGCCCTTCTTGCTGGAATTCAAAGACGATAAACATTATACATAAATAAATCTCACAAGTTTGTTGATTTCTGAAACTCCTTAAACATCTCACCTAGGAAACTTTGATCAGAATGTGCTTCTCTTCCAAATAATGATCTTATTTAACTTTAACATTTCAATGTGTGTGTGCAAGTAAGTAAGTATTTATGTATAAATTAGCTTGATTTTAATTTAAATAAATTTTTTGAAATAATTCATAAAAAATTATAAACAAGTAATTCATTTATAATTTATATATAACTTAGCTTGATTATGTAGATCATTATTAAAAAATAATCCATCAGAAATTTTTAAATGTAATTATTAAAATAAGATCATTATTAAAATACTAAGTTAACAAGATCATTATGTTTAAAAGTAATCATTATTGATCTTATATATAATTTATTTCTCATTTTATATATAAATACTTTTAGTGGCAACAAATTTTACCACTAAAAGTAATTATGTAAATTAATTTTTATAAAAATATTTTTAATTTTTTTATGAAAATACTTTTGGTTGTCACTGTTAAAAGTAATATTATATAAATTATTTTTAAATTTTTAATTATTTTTTACAAAAATACTTTTAGCTGTGACAGTTTGTCGCCACCAAAAGTAGTTACAAAAATTATTTTTAATTTTAAATTATTTTTTATAAAAATAACTATCATAACTAAATGTAACTACATAAATTATTTTTAATTTCTTAATTATTTTTTTTATGAAAATACATAAATTATTTTATTTTTTTAATTATTTTTTTATAAAAATACTTTTGATGGTGATGAATTGTCATCGCTAAAAGTGATTGTATAAATTATTTTTTATTAAAATACTTTTATCGCTTTTTTAGCGATAGCAATTAAAAGTTACCACTAAAAGGTGGCCTTTGTCGGTAATTTTTAAAAAATGCCTCTAAAAAATCTACTTTTAGTGGCAACAAAATGTTGCTACCAAAGATTAACTTTTAGCAACGGCTTCTAATTATTATTGTCAAAAGTAGATTTTTGGCAGTGACTTTTTTTGTCACCAATAAAAGCTGCCGCTAAAAGTTATTTTTTTGTAATGTACATTATACTCTTTAAAGTTGATTTTTTTACGGTTATAGTGATCGCTATTCATATAATATCCTAATTATCTCTTAGACAATTAGTCCCAATTAAATTAAAATTGACCGCTCTCATGCTACCCCTAAGTCACCACAAAATTTTAAATTGAGATCTAGTTTTAGTTATTTATTTTTACCTCTCTAGATCTAGGCCTTTAATCAGATAGTATGATGAATGGCCATAAAATCCTTATGAAACATGAGACAGATAAATATAATGTAAAAGAAATATAAATATAAATAAACATGGAAATTCAACTTTAAGAAAAAAGAGTACTTAAAAAATCAATAAAGACAATCCCGTAGACTTTTTTTAAAAAAAAAATACTGCTGAGATAACAGTTATACATAACTGCTATAATTTATTACTATAGGAGTGGTTTTACCTCAAATCACTAAAATGTCGCAATATCAACCCGTGCCAAACAGTGCTAGCAGTGGCAGCGAAAGCTGCAGCGATTAGGCATGCAAAACGGTGATAAACATATTAGTGGTTCCATAAAAACTGATACAAGGACTTATATCAATTATTAAGTCACTTCAAACATGTTTAATCAAAACTAATAAAAAGTTTAAAATGTATTAACTTTGTATAAAAATTGAATAAGTTTTCAATTTTTTCATTATTAAATATACATACTTTAATAACATATTTTCTCTCACCAATATTTAATGAAGAGGAAAAAGAAAAATTTGTAATAAAAATTTAAATGATATGACTTGTAAATTGGTCAAGAAAATTTTCTCCCTCTACCTTACAAATAGTATCTGAGGGAGTATATGGAAGCTAAAATGTAATCATTAATACCATACCAATTTAACTAGAGGTTATAGGAGTTATAGTTGTGAATCACTTGTGAATTTTTTGCTATTAATATATAAACAAATTGCTTGAAAAATTTGCAAAATATATTTGGTATTATTTGCAATGTTAATTGAAAATTTACAAGAGTCACTTGTGTATTATAAACCAATTACTTATGATTTTTTTTCTATCAATTAAAAAATTAACAAAAGATGCTTGGAAGTATTTATAGTGTTAATTAGAAATTTATAAAAATCTGTTATGAATCTCAAATCAATCAACAAAAAATAATTTATTACAACTAAAGATCATGGTCTATTATTAGAATTTCAATAATTTAGGATATGTAATTGTCATTAATATTTTTATGAAGTCTCTAATTGTCATTTTTCATTCCAAAATTGAGGCAGTACTATGTACTTGACGTCAAGTTTTACCAAGCCGAGTCTATATCCAAGCAAAAATAGCATTATAGTATATTATTATCATAAAAGTTACATTATATTATTAAAAAATTTAAAGGATAATTTCAAATGTCTTGTTGATTTTTTGGGTGAGTAAAAAGAGTGGACCCTGCTTACGATAAGGATAATTTCCCCTTGGAGGTACTGAATAGTAAACTAAAAAGTAAACCCTTTCCGACTAAATTACTATACGTGTAAGGATTGATATTCGAACTCTCAACTGCTTGTTAATCACTCACGTCCATTTAAGTTAGTCTTCTGGTTGGTTTCTAGCTTCATTACACAACCCATGAGAATTTGTCAGACTATATATGTGGCATTATGATTTATTTGTTTGAGTGAGTACTATCAGAAATGCAAAAAAGGAAAACTATTTTTAAACAAAAGACCCATCTTTCTAGGAAATGTATGTGTATGAAAATAAGTTTCACTGGAATTAGTAATAAAACTTCACGTTATTCAGTTTAATTTAATTAGCTATTCATTTTGCCGGATAGAATATTAACATCGTTGAATCATTTGATCCACAAACATAGCTAGTGATGAAACCTGCCTCGTTCAAGAAACTACCTTGCAATATACGTTTATACTCGGTTCAAAAACTTCGTCTCATAATTATATAGATAGTGGAACAACAAGAAAAAAGATCATTCAAATAAAAGTCTAAGCCGGCAATTATTGTTAATGCAAGAAAATGACTTCCCTAATAGGGCCAATAACAAAAGCAAATCCTTAGCAATAACTTGAATAATTAGCAGGACTTGAAATGACAGGATTTACTAAAATAAATATCAAGTATAGCTCAGGCCCTTCTTTTTGGAATTCAAAGACGAGAAACATTATACATAAATAAATCTCAACATATATAATTTGAATCAGATAACAGATCAAGACCATACTCAAGTAGCTGAAATTGAAGCATAACCAAAAGCCTCAGCTTTATGTCTTCTCTCTTAGCTTCCAGCATCAATTGGATGCCCTCTGAGAAAAAACACGCAAGTTTATTGGTTTGTACTTCGACTTCATAAACATCTCACCCTCAAAGCTTGGACCGAACAATTTTATGATGAAGATGTTGCAAGTAACAGTCTTCTTCTTCCTCTTGATATCCCATGCATTTTCCTTATCCTTTAATTTCTCTGGTTTCCTGTCCAATGATGACATGATATCATATGAAAAATCAGCTCGCCTTGACACTACGTCCGGATACATCGAATTGGTAAGCTCCAGCGGTAATGTTGGCCGAGCCACATATCAGAAACCGATGCACCTGTGGGACAAAGCCACCGGGAAACTCACAGATTTCTCCTCCAGATTCGCATTTGTGATTGATTCACAGAACAACACTAATTTTGGAGATGGCATGGCTTTCTTCTTAGCTCCTAATGGTTCAAAGCTTCCTAATATCCCAAAAGAAGCAGTAGGAGGTTCAATGGGTTTGATTATTGGTGGCAATGAAACGATATTTAATTCAACAGATCATCCGTTTGTTGCTGTGGAGTTTGATATCTACCCTAATGTAGACTGGGATCCTATGAATGTACATGTGGGTGTTGATATCAATTCTATTGAATCTGTGAGTACTGTGATATGGGGGGACGTGTATGATAGTATCATGAGAGGGAGAACTAATGAGGCTTTTATTAGTTACAATTCAAGTACACATAATTTAAGCATCTCGTTCACTGGTCTTCTTTTTGACAACAGGATAGTGCAACATCATCAAATAGTGGACCTGAGAAAGTACCTACCTGAATGGGTTACTTTCGGTTTCTCAGCTGCCACAGGATTATCAGTTGCAATACACAAGATCAATACATGGAGTTTCTACTCAGAGGAGTTCTCAGATATTGCTCCCACGCCAAGTCCGAACCAGAGCCCAACCCTAAGCCATAGCCAGAGCCAAACAAGCAGAAATGCTATAGCAGTTACAACCGGATTAGGGGTTGGAGGTTTTCTTTTAATTTGTGTGGTGGTATTGTTTGTCTTGTGGAAGAACAAAAAGAAAATGGAAGATGATGAGTGTAACAGGGATATGAGTGATGATTTTAAAAGAGGAACAGGGCCCAAGAAGTACTCATATGCTGAATTAGCAAGTGCTGCAAATTATTTCAAAGATGAGCACAAGCTTGGACAGGGAGGATTTGGAGGTGTCTTCAAAGGTTATCTCAAAGATTTAAACTCCTATGTTGCCATAAAGAGAATATCAGAGACTTCTAAACAAGGAATGAAGGAGTTTGCTGCAGAAGTAAGAATTATCAGTCATCTAAGGCATAGAAACTTGGTGCAACTAATCGGTTGGTGTCATGAAAGGAAAGAACTATTGCTAGTTTATGAGTATATGCCAAATGGAAGTTTATCTTCTCATCTCTTTGAAGACCAAATGTTGCTGAGATGGTCAGATAGATTTAAAATAGCTCAAGGCTTGGCCCATGCATTATTCTACCTTCACGAGGAATGCGAACAATGTGTAGTTCATAGAGACATCAAACCAAGTAACATCATGCTAGACTCAAACTTCAATGCAAGGCTTGGTGATTTTGGGTTAGCAAGACTGATAGACCATGCAAAAGGTGCACAAACTACAGCTTTAGCAGGAACTATGGGCTATATGGCTCCAGAATGTGTCACAACTGGGCGGGCTTGTAAAGAATCTGATGTCTACAGTTTTGGGGTTGTTTCCTTGGAGATAGCTAGTGGAAGAAAATCCATCAATCGCAAGGCTCCAGAAGATGAAATAAGCATAGTGAATTGGGCATGGCAACTCTATGGAAGTGGAAGAATTCTTGAAGCGGTTGATTCAAGGCTTGAAGGTGATTTTAACCAGGATCAAATCAAATGCCTCATGATTGTTGGACTGTGGTGTGCTCATCCTGATCATAATAGTAGGCCCTCAATAAGGCAAGTAATTCATGTACTCAACTTTGAAGCTCCATTTCCTAGTCTTCCTTCAAGTTATCCCATGCCAACATATATTGAATACCCGGTGTGGTCATCATTTTCAAATCTATCCAGCACCACTACTTCAGAAGTAGTCAAAACCATAACATAACCCTTAGTTTTAGCACAAACTCTTTTGGATTCATTAAATTTCTAATGATGTTTCACTAACAGTCTTGTGCATTCGCACAAAAATTAACTTCGGCTATTGTAAATTTGTTGTTCCTTCAGTCAATTCTTGACGCTTTGTTCGCATTTCTTGGATGTACGTAACAGTAGTAATCTAAAAAATAAATATAAACAGAGAACCTATGATTATTATTGCTGGAATTTACAGATCCGTTCTTGATGAGAATTGGATCGTCATGTCAGATCAACCAGAGAAGATTTGACATATTCTAGAAATTATAAGGTTTGACTGGAATGATTAATTAATGCTATATTGATTTTTGGTTGAATTCCAGAATTAGAAATAATTCATCCGTAATTGATATGGTTATCTTGATTAATTATTCCCTCCATTATAAGGTGAATTAATGTCGATTGAGTTTTTGTTTTTTTTTTGCCATGACCTCCCCTTACTATAAATAGAAGTGTGGGTGGTTGAAGAAAAAATTTATCATCTTAAAGTAAACAGTTCTCTTTCAGTGTTTGTTCTCCCTCCCTCTCTCTCCCAAACTCTTAAGTGTATTTATTGTGCGCCTCAATTTAGACTCTTGTAATTTAATTTTGTATGAATAATCGGGTAGACTCTGCTATGTCTGGATTTGAAAAGATTTTGACCTGACTTCATTATTCTAGTATATTATTTATTATTAATATTCCTTCAGTTATTTTGGAATATTATTAGCTAGTGATTCTAAACTGTTGCCCGAAACAATATTGTTCGAACAAATGACATGGGAGAGGATCATGATCTTGAACACTAGCATGTTAAAATACAGTCTTGTCAAAACAAAAAAAAAACAAAAAAAGAAAGAAAGAAACAATTTTTGTTAAAATTTTACTCCTGAGTATGAGCAAGTAAAGAGGAGCCTCAGCTCATTTTGGAATTTAGTATTTTGGGTATCGTCGCGATGTTATCCTTTCTCATTTTATAAGAAACCAAATTATAAATGTTATAGTACTGTCAATTTGAACTTTTTGGGAACCAAAAAAAATATAAGAAGAATAACAGTTAAGTCTCAGAACCTTAAATTAATAACAGTTAAGTCCCCAATAAATATTTTTGAAAAATAAGTTAAAAATATCAATTTAAATAATTATAAATTCAGGAATTTCAATTGCAAATAAGTATTTTAGTATCAAGTGCAACTCTTAAAAATTGTTTAACTTGATAATTATCATTCATTTTTTTAGAAAATTTTATCAAAAATCTAACTGTCATTAATTCATTCTTTTAAGTCCTAACTATCATTTTTTTTTTCAAAAATATATCATTCAATCTAGCAAGAATTGTCCATTTGTACTTGAGCCACTTGAGAGACCTGGATATAAGGCTGTTTAGATGGCCCGAAAGCCCGATCAGGTTGACTGAGCTGGGCACCAGGCGAGGATCAACCCTAGCCCAAACCTGCCCGACTTAAAATATTTATCTATTTTATTTGGTTTTTTAAAGATTTGTCAAAACTTAATTATTTTATAATATTATTTTTATTTTGTATTATATTATTTTTAATGTTCATCATGAATATCTTTTATAATTTCAATTTTTTTAATCATTTAAATATGTAAAATTGATTTTTTTACTTCATATCATGTGAAAATAATAAATAATTTTTAATTATATACAATTTAAAAAATTATTACTTTTAATTTTAACATTACTTTTATAAGTAATCCATTTTAAATAAATTTATTTATATTTTGAATTGTTTAATAAATTTTTTTGTATTTAAAATTTTTTTAAAATAAAATTCGGGCATATCGGACCAAAACTCGACCAAAGCGTTCGACGGCCCAACCCATGTACACCCCTAACTGGATGAATCCCTTCATGAAACATGTAATCTGCATTTACTATATTCCTTATCATAAAATACATGATCCTATTGGAAAAATAAGCTTGCATTGTAACTTTTAATGCTGAGAGTAAAATATATATATATATATAGATATAGATATAGCAAGAAAAATTAAACCTTTTTATTAATAATTCTACATTTCCCTTGTAATTATAGAAAAACTGAGGCTGTATTTGGTATACTGGAAATGGAGTTGGAAAAGAATTCCATATGTGAATATGTTTGGTAGGATTGAATCAAATCCTATTGAGAATCAGATTCAAGCCACTACTACAAAAATGGCTATATATAATAGAATTTATTCAACGGTTAATATTAAAAATGTTAATATGTGTAGGCAAAAAATCAAAAAATTCATAATAAACGGTTATTAAATAAAGTGTGAAATAATGTAGATCAATACTCAACAATTTTTATGTATAACCGTAGAGTATATGAATAAATGAAATTTTTTCCCTCCTAAAAACTTACTCAACAGTTAAACTAAAAAACTGTTGAGTATGTAAATGTCAATACTCAATGGTTAATATGAACAACCGTTGAGTATATAAATTCTTTGAATAATTTTTTTATCTTTTTAAGAACTTAATGGATAATGTATAAAAACCATGAAGTATTTTATCTAAATACTCGACATTTTTTTATAATTAACAATTTAATATATTAATTATTTCACTAAGTTTTTTGTATTTTTTTAATATATATGGAATGATTAATTATAACTGTTGAGTATATGGATATATACTCAAAAATTATATTCATTTATCCATTTAGTATACTAATTATTAAATAATTAAGGGTCTTCTTTTATATATATATATATGTAATGGACGGCTAAGCTATTTATTAACAGTGTATATATATACGTTTGGCACATTTTTATGCAATGGTGACCAATAACCGTTTAATATATATATATAAACAAAGTAATTTAAAAAAAAATTATATTCAACAGTTTAAATAAATAATCGTTGAATATCTATGCACCGCATATCTAAATATATAAAGCAGAGAGCTATGTGTCAAGTATATTCAATAGTTTCATATATAACCGTTGAATAGCAGAGAGCTCACCTACGCATAAGAGTATTCAACAGTTTCAATATATAACCGTTGAAATATCTTGGCTTCTCCAACACACTTATGTACAACATAGTAGAGAGCTCGCGCAACAGTGCTCTGTCATTCAAATAAATTTCTAGACTTTCCCATTCCAATTTGAAACCCCTAATCCCTCCATTGTTGGCCTTAAGTTCTTTGCCTTGTGAGCTCGTCCCAGCCCATTATCAGCCTATCACTATTGTCGTCTCCATCTTCACTGCGTTCACTGCATTTCTTCCCCTGTTTCGTGAGCTCATCGCTGGTACAGTGGCCTCTTCCCCTTGATGAATACCCCAAGCTCTTGTTCTCTATTGAAGAACTATGGTGGTCGTCCTCACTCCAGCTCTCAAAGGCCGTAGTTGCATTCTGGTTTGAGATCCCTGGAGCTCACTTCCAATATTGCCAATCCAGCCTCCTGGTTCACTCGTGCTTGTGTTGTGCTTGTGCTTTAATTTGTGGCTCATTGCTGCTTCTCCCACTAGCTATTGCTGTTCCTATGGCCTTAATTCAAGTCCTCTTGCTTTCAGAACACCCATATCACGTGATCTTATGAGGTAATTAATTTTTTTCTTTCTTTCTTTCTTTCTAATTGCAATTATTGATGTTTTATACTTTGGGTTGATAAATAGTTGAAATTTAGAAACTTGAGGTTGTTATTCCAGTGAATTTAGCTCTATAAAATAGGATTGAGCAAAGAGATAGTGTGATTTAGCTTGTAAAATAGAATTTAGCTGTGTAAATTTATAAGCTTGAATGAATTGAGTGTTATTGACATGCTATGTAAATTTATTAAGGTTGCTCTCACCATTAAAAATTAGTATTGATATACATTGGAAAATTTTTATCTGTATGATTATCTATGGTGCATCTTTTGGTTTGACTATTCTGGGACTTTGGATACTCTGTTGTTAATTTTATTTTTGTCAAACTACTAAGGGCCTTTGTAAATATGCATAGTTGATTATTTTGTCAACATATTTTGCATTTTATGTTCATGTCTAATTGAAATAGCTCACTTTGTGGTTGAATTGTGAGTACTTGTGGCTATTATCTAAAATGAGCTTTGGTGATATTTTGCAATCAATTGCCTTCTACCCTTAGCCACATTACAAGCTTATAAAGTTTTGTTCTAAAATTAATTTGAGTTGATCTATGTGTATGCTAGTTTGAAATTATTGTTATTTTAATATTAGATTTGTGAAAAGAGGGCATTAAGCTTTATGCTGTTATGCTGCCGAAATTTTTTCAAATTTTTATTTTGCAATTATGTAGAAGAAATTTGAGTTTTCTTTGAAGTAGTTTAATATTTTACTTGATTAAATTAGTATAAATAGAGAATAAGGCTTAAGGAACACTTATTTTAAGCTGTTATACCGCTGAAATTGTCTAATTTTTTTAAATAATTAACTTGTGACTCACTAAATGCTTTTCTATCTTTGTTACCTTGCTTAGACAAGGGCATTAATTATGAATAAGGAGTGGATGTCTGCCAACCGTTTATCTAAAGAATATTAGGATGGGGTGGCAGACTTTGTTAAGTTTGCAGTAAATAATGCAAAAGACTGTGGGTGAATTGTTTGCCCTTGTTTAAGCTGCAGTAATGTGAGGTCAGTTTCTCCTGAAACATATGAACTCCACTTGTTTAAGTATGAAATTGATCAAAGTTATAAGTGTTAGGTGAAGCATGGAGAAATACCTGAAGATGTGAATAATTATAATTAGGGGCATATGGAAAGTTGTTCATCATCACCAGATTCCAAAAAAAGTGCATATGAGACTAACTATTGTTTGAAAGAATTTCCTGATGCAATAGAAGGGGAACTCAAGAATTTTCTAGAGAAGTTAGAAAGATTGAAAACTGATCTGGAGACACCTTTATATGAGGGTTGTACTGAGTTTACTCTGTTATTTGCTGTGTTGGAATTATACAACTTGAAAGCTACAAGCAGGTGGAGTGACACAAGCTTCTCAAGCTTGTCTCTCTGATCAAACTAA